TCGCTAAACCCATCGATAAATTAACAATCACTTACCGACGGATATATCCGTCGTAAAATTATATAATAATTACTTAATTTTAAATATATTTTAATAAATTAATTATTCGCTTAATTACAAAATTAAATACTTTTTCTATTTAATAAATTAATTTAATCATAATTAGATTAATTTATAATAATTTATTAAATTAAATAATTTAAAAAAATAAATATTTAATTATATATACATATATAAAAATATTAAATATATATAAATATATTATATTTATATATTTATATGGATATATATTTATTTGTATATACATTTATTTGTATATAAATATAACTTATTGTAAATTATAATCGAAAAATTCGGTAGCCTAGTGGTTGGAGTATCGACCTCCAACTCGAGGTACTTGGGTTTAAATCTTGTCGATGACAATGCTTTAATCTAAATAATAATATAATATAAAGAAAGGTATAATAAATAAATAAAAATTTAATAAATAATAAAAATATTTCCGACGGAAAATCCGTCGGTAAATTTTACCGACAACATAATTACCGTCGATTTTTCTTGTAGTGTTTGTTCCGTCAGGTTGGTGGTTATGTGTCCTCGACATCAATCATTGTCCCAAGCTAGTGTCAACTTCATATGTAGTTTACAAAACAATTAAACATTAATAAGTTAATAGTTACTTCACTCATTCCATACTTAATGAAATTAATGAGTTCAGAAAAAAAAAATTGAAGTTACTCATGTTCACAACATATTTCTTAAGTGAACTTTTCGTGAACTTCCTCATAAAATTTTGTGTAATGTGTCAAATGAAGTACACAGTACACATGCATAGAATTATTTTCAGTCCAACCGTTACCCTCTCTTATGTAAGAACTTCATATGAACTCATGACAGTTAAAAATGAGACATAGTCCATCTTTTAGGATGATATATCTCCTTAGGTTCCTCAAAATGAAAAACCAAACATCAGTTGTTTCCCCCTCCATTATAGCAAAGATGATTGGGAGTATGTTGTTGTGGTCATCTTGAACTACTGCAACCATAATATTCCTCTGTATTTTTCATAGAAAAATGTTTTGTCCACTTGCACCAATGGCTTGCAGTATTGAAAACTATCAACCTAAGATGTGAATGACCAAACCACCCTCTTAAAGACGTGTTCCTCAACTAGTTGTTGTATAATTTGTCATATAGTTTGTCGATGACTAACTGTGTTGCTAGACATGCCTTCCAATAAGTGACTACGTATCATTAGGTAGACTTGATGTGGGTAATTATTGTTGATACAGGGGGTTGAACAATCAACATCTAGAATCTCTGGATTGTTTAAAAAATAAGGTGTGATCATAACTTGTTATGATCTTGAGAGATTAATAGGGATACGCAGGTGTGGATGCCTTCTAACTTCATTAATTGTCATTATTGTTCTCTGGTCCACAATATTACTCTGCACCTTTAACCATACGCTATATGAATATACTGCACTACATGTATGTGCACCTTGTATGTGCAATGGTGCATGATGTAGAACTTGTTTATTGCGTTAATCACATCTTGTGTATTGTTGAAGCATTGACCAACAAATAATGTTCTTGGGGGTATACAAGTGTATTCCGATCAAAAAAATGGGCAAATTTTGGCTCAATGTCATTTATGGTGGATTGAAATTGGATAAATTGTTGGGGTGAATTGTAGGTGAACTGAATGGTTTAATCATATGATGCTACTGAAGTATTTTATGATATTGATGTATCTAATATGATTACTTGAAAGTCACAATTTTATTTTGATACTATCATTGAATTATGTTAAATTTACAAGATCAACTAATGAAATAATAATGTTTCTAAACCTATATGTTTCTATCTCTTCCACAAATCAAAACAACATCTTTTTATTTCAAACTATAATTTACTTTAGTGGTTTTTTTCAATGTGAAACCATCACGAAAAGTCCAAATGGTTTTGGTCTTACTTGTACATGTTGTAATCCTAGAGTAATGATAATCAAACACACAAAGTCTTTTACTCAACTATTTGAAAGTATCACTAAAGTACTTGATTATGAAAACCACAAACAAGTAGTTGAAATCAATTACTAATGTCCAATTCGAGTATGAAACCAAAAGATTATTCATCACTAGTTACAAATTAAAATTGATTCTGACGTGGCTCAAATTATCAACCACTAGAAAAAATACACACTTTACACTTAAGCGTGCACCATGATAAACATGAAAAATGATTGAGTAGTTTAAACTATGTATTTATTAACTATTAAATTATACAAATATGTATTTATTAAATATATACAATTATAAAATGTATTAAATATATAAAAATATGTGTAATATATATATATATATATAATAATAATAATCTGATAAAGAAAATCACAATTCAAATTTTATCCTTCCTAACAAAGTTTTGACAATGTTATTTGGTGATTTTCGATTCAAAATTTAATTTTTTATAATCAAATTCTGACATTGTAATGACCCTAAAAATCGCTACTATAATGATGTCTTCGCAAAGTAGTAAACAAGTAAATAACAACATCTATTTTACATTATATTACTGTAATTGTAACATAGATTGAAATTCTGGTTCACTAACGGAACTTCAAAATATAGTAACATAATTTATTTATATATTATACATGTAAAAGTGGCTCTCTCGAAGCTATCCCACTGAACTATCCCTGTTGTCTAGTAGTCACATCTCCATCTCTCAACTCCTGATCTACTCTCACATAAAAGTGATCATCGCAGTCTCATCCACATGGAAAACTAAGGGTAAGTATTAAATCATTCGATATAATAAAACAAATATAGAAGTAATAATTATATATTATAATCAATTACAAAATTATCAACACACTAAGACACCTTCCGGAAGTATACCCTAACTATGTCCGAACTCAGAGGCTATCATATGTGGACACATTGTGATCGGTACCCGCAGTACCATTTTGACCACCCTCTACACAAAGTAGGATTATTGGCGTCCTTCATCGCTCATACTGGAGTACCCCTCCGAGCGTGCCACCAGTCATCCCCCATCGACTTCTCACCACCTGATCTCATAGTCTACCTGACTCGACCAATCAGTGAAGTCTGGGACCTCATTCAGAATCCTCCGACATAGTTATTACACTAATGTACTCTGTACCACCCCGGGTACCATTCAAACATAACAAAAATTATTCACATTTTCCGGATTGTGGACCACCTGTCCTCACGGCTCATTCGGGTAAATAAAAATAGTATTTGATCGATTCTGGCACCAACCCTCCGGCTTAGTCTAGCCAATATATAACGTCTCGGGATCGATTTTGGGCATCGGCCCTCGGGCTCGACTCGACTCACACACGTCACAACAAACTACTTTCATTCTCTCTCTTTATATATATATTTTTCTAAAATTATTTCCGAAATCATTTCCGAAACTATTTTTGAAATCATTTTCGAAATCATTAAATTATTATTTTGCCCTTAATCTTTTCTTAAAATTCCATGTATGTCTCTAAATGACTATTTTAACCTTGGACATTTTTTAAAATTCCTTTCATGTCCTGAAAATGACTATTTTGCCCTTAGACATTTTCAAAAATTCCTTCCATGTCCCGAAAATGACTATTTTACCCTTGAACAATTTCAAAAATTTCATTTATGTCCATAGGATGTAAAATAACTATTTTACCCTTGATCTTTTTAAAAAATCCCCACCATATCCCTTTCTTCTTGCTTCGCCCAGTTACAGTATCAGATTTTACAGATTTTTGCAGATTTCAAATTACTCTGTTTTAGACAACCAAACTAGTCCCAAATTCAAATTAAACATGACTTATATCTAATTTAAGTTGAAAACAACAATTTTATCATATAATTCATCTTTAATTTCAAGAATTTCAAAAACTTTCAAACGGTGAACAATTCATCAGAATCAGAAATTTTTCAAAATCAGACATTTAAATAACTCATATCTCTACTCCTATTCCTTATTCACAGAGTACCAAAGAATTCAATTTCATATATTGAATGAATTAAACTTCCCCTTACCTGGTATGGTATTTCTATCGAAGTTTTCCCACTTAATTCAAGCTCTCTCCCGTTTCACCAGATCCTGCACGAGTAGAGTCTTGTTGCTTGAAATTTAGACAATAGAAGAATAAGAATCAGGAACATGTGATATGGGAGGAATAACTTCCCGCAAAAACCATTCCTCCCCCTTCGAACATATAAACAAAAAAATTTTCACTTTGCATGAGGAAAACTTCGTTACGAAGTTTTCTTGTACGATAAAAAGCATATGTCACAGACATTGCCCAATAAATAAATATATTTTAGTAAATAAAATTATGGTGATCACTTCAATATATAAATATTTTTTTTAATATTATTTTAGAAAAAAATCTCCAAACATGAAAATTATAATGAATCTGGAGAAGGATTATAATTTCAACGAGTTATTAAAAATTAAATCTAAATATTATAATATATTTGATTTAGACTTTATAAAAATGTAAATTTAATAATTGTTTTTACCAAATTATTATTATTAAGGCTTTAGAGAGCTATAATGTGATAATATTATATTTATTTAGCTTTTTTTGTGTTCTAATCATTTATGTAGTTTTATCTTGGCATCCAATAATAAATAATTCACTACAAAAAACTTCATAATTATTAGAGGTTTATTTTCAGCAGTTATAAAAATCGTAAAAATTAAATGTAATTTATGACAAAAAATTTAACCGACACAATAATTATAATTAATTTTAAATTTTTTTATTTTATTTTTATTTATTTTCATTTTTCATTCTCTCACTTTCTTCTACCTTCTCTTTCTCTCTTCGTTATCTCTTTCTCTCTTTACCGTTTCATTCATTTTCACACTCATCTTTGTAACGTTTCATCCTTCACTGCAAGGTAACATATCCTCTCTCAATCACCAATTCAGGTTTAATCCTTCTTACGCTTTACTTTTCAATTTCACATGTTTGTGATTTTTGTGGAAAATTACAAGAGTTTTATCTATCATTTGTTCTTCAATTTACAGTATATGCTAATTTCTCCTTCTCTTCTCTGTGTGACGCATGACAATCTACATTCAACCGTTTTTTGTTTTTCCTTAACCTCGGCTACGAAACTTTTAATATTTTCGTTGTATTTTGTTGTTGTTCTGTTTGTATTTCGAGCCGTGTACGGTGGCGTACGGCGGCGCGTTGGTCTCCAATCTCTCCAAGACGGACACTCGGACGGCGTTGCCGCTTCGGAGCTAACGCCGGAGGGGCGACGATGTCGGTGCTCGGCTGCGATGCAGTTGCTGCAGCCGGCGGAGCCGTTTCCTCCGCGGCGTCCGGTGCGGAGGGGATTGGAGGGTCCGGCGGTGGGGGATTGGTTTCGGGCACTTCCGCCATTGTGGTCACAGTGGCAGTGGCGGAGTGCGCAGGATAAGGGAGACGGGGAGTTTTCTGGTGCGGTAGGGTGCAAGGGTACAATTACCTCTAAGATTTTGCGCCGTTGGATAGTTATTATGCAGTTTTTGGTCCTGCATCCAGTTTCCTCGTTTGAGTTTATATTTTTAGTTAAGTTTATATAGCACCTCACTAGTTTTCTTGAAGGTTTAAAATTTAAGTTGTCTTGTGTTGATAACTAGCTTGTATGTCTGTAGGTGGTTAATTTTTTCACGTGGTCTTTTAGAATAGGTACTGAACATAAGAAGTTTGGTTTTGAGTTTGGAAACTTGCGTCCTATGAAATATGAGCAAATAGCAAAATTGCTGAATGGCATTGCCGAGAGATTTGACTGGGATAAAATAATGGAAGATGATAAAATTATTGGACTGAAACGTGTTTGTGAAGTGTCTTTGAGAATGGAAAACAAACACAGAGGAAATGTGACTGAAGTGAAGTGAAGGAGAAGGTGCTCTGTTAGATTATTTATACAATGCTCTTTCTAGATTTATACAAAACTCTTTAGACCTTTTGTCCTCTATCAATTTATAATTAATGGCCCACACATTCATGTTTTCACCCCTTTGATGCAGGTAAAGTTCTTGTCATTTATATAGTTGTACTCCTCTTCATCAATTTCTTCACTTTTCATCATATTTATCACCATAGCTCTCCAATTCTACTACTTACATAAGTTTAAATGGATTGTAACTTCAAGTGAGAGTGTCCACACTAGGCCATTCTACTTTTTAAATGAGTGATTTTTATAAAGCCTCCATTCACTGCTATATATAAAACTTACAGATTTTTCTGACTTGTTTAAAGCCACTTTGGAACTAATCAAAGGTAGAGTGGTTACGTCTAAAGGTGGATCTAGTAAGCTTTTGTCTACTACTTATTAGTGACTCTAGATTTTTTGGGTTAGATATGCTAGAAACTACTTAACTATAGGTAAGTTGAATGCTTATCAGAAACTGTTAGTTAACTATGAAAAATATACAAGAAAGGTGAAGAAAAAATATGCAGAAATTGTTTTATGTTCTGTTCATTATAGCTGCTATATTTAACCATAATTTGTTGCATTAGGCAATATGATTTATGTATATAACACAGTTCCAGTCCCAAGGAAATTACAAAAGTCTGGTGTGAAAACGTGAGGTATAAGGTTCAATGCTGCATTAGAATAATAATTGGAGTGCATGAACACTGAATATGTCATTTCATGTTTAAGTGGAAAGGCATAAAGCATTAAAATTTCTTAAAATTACTTTAAATATTCTTTTAGTAAGTGAGTATGAATAAAAAAAATTACAACTAAGAACAATGAAAGAAATATATTCGACCTTTTAGACAATCCAAAACATATAGTATATGAACTTCAATGGACTCTGTTTTTGCAGTGCAATTTTATAATGATTTTCATGAGCTATGACCAAAATATGTATGCAGAGTTTTTAGATGGATTTAGCGTCTTTGTTTTAATCTAATCATGGAAAAATATTTGTTTATTTAATGTTGCAGGCATAATCAATGGAATTTTCCAAAAACAAATACTAAAAGAATTGATCGAATAGTCTTGTCAAGGTAAGTATTTTACACTTTTCTTCAACAACAAAAAGTGTCGAGGCTGAAGTTATGCCTATGAATTTGGCATCAATAACAATATATGTTGAATTCTAATTGCATATTGAGTAAAAGGAGAAAAATAAACTTTAATTTGATGCTGCATTTAATTAGCCTTCTGTTTCTGTTATTGTTAATTTCTAATTTAATTACATTATATTATTACTGATTTTTAATTTATGTAATTTTCTAGTGTATGTCACTGTGAATTGTGTTTTAGACTCCTGCATATGCCTTTTTCATTACTGTATTTCTCATTCACATCATCTCGTCAATATTCTATATTCTTTATATCAAGAAAATTTCATAAATACTTTTTTTTAATCTAAATTTTTTATATGCATAGTATTTTTTGTTTGATAAAAACATAACATAATTATAGTTGAAGTGTGCTTACTTAATAGGACTTTATATTATATTATTCAATACCTGTATAAAGTTCAATATCTTATGTATAATTTCTAATTATGCTTATGATCTTTATTTTATAGGATGAAGAGAGTTGACAAGATATGTCAACACCACAAGAAGAATCTTCTTTAGATAGTAATTTTCATAAAGTTTGACATTATATGTAAGTATTTCATATTTTGTGTTAATAGAATTATGTTGTTAATTATTTCTATGGAGTTTAATATCTTTTATATATATTTTTAACTATATTAAGATGATATTATTTTTATTTCACAGGATGAAGCAAGTGAATGAAATATGTCAATATCATAGGAGGATACTCATTGGATAATAATTTTCATTAAGTTTGACATATATGTTATGAAATTTGTGGATCTATTGACATTGTATTTTGTTAGATACTCTTTATTAATGAATAATGTGATGAATTTTATTGGACTTTTAGGATGAAATTTGATTTTATCTTAGTTAATATTGAATTATATTTAGTTAAGTACTCTCTCAAAGTGAATTATATATCAAAACTACAAATTTAACCATTTTTTAGTGAGAATCAAACTAATATTTTATGTCATTAAAACAAATGAAAAATATATTATACATTTCATTAGATTATTGATTTTATTATAATGATTAAATTATTATTACACTTATGGTGGTATTTTAAAGTAATTCTAAATAAAAAAGTATTTTAATTATTAATTATAAAATTATTAAAAAATAATTTGTAAATAATAATTAAAATTTTGATTTATTGATAAAATAATTAAAAAATAGTAATTAAATAATTTTTGGTGGTTTTTTAAACCTCCAATAAGTTTTAAATAATTATAAAATATTATATATTTTGTAGCGGTTTTTAATTGTTGAAATATAAAATTAATTATAAAAATAACATTTGTAACAATTTCAAATTGCAACAAAATGTTAAATTAAAATGAAAATAATAATATATTTTATGGCGGTTTTTAACTCGTTGAAATTTTTGTTTTTCTTTTTTGACATAAATACCAGCATTTAAAAAAATTCTGTTACAAATAGTTTTTGACATCTATAAATATGACAGTTATATTAATTGTTACAAATTTTATTTGTAGCGGTTTTTAACTTCTAAAATCTACAATTTTAACTCGCTATAAATAACATTTTTTTTTTAGTGATTACTGAAATGAATTTTGAAATTATTGTTATGAAAGTCAATAAATTTATTATATATTATATTTTTATGATAGAGAATGGCGATATGAATTTTGTTTTTTACTTATATAATATATTTAGTATAATTATAATTATTTTATTGACATCGATTTAATTACAGTTTAACTATTGATAATAATGAATAATAATATATAATAATAATAGTAATACTAATAATAATCGTATCCTGGGATCTCATTTATCATAATGGGAAACTTTCACAATAAACACAAATAAATATATTTTCACAATGATAATTAGAAAAGAGGACTCAATTAAAAAAATACGGATTTAAGAGGCCAATTAAGAAGAAAAATACTTCAGAATATTAAAAATGTTAAATAGTTCAAAGATTTATAAAGTAATTTTAATTTAAAAATGAAAAATGGAAGGAGTTAATAAACTATTAATAACTAAATCACATTGGCTTAAATTTAATGTTATTATTCACAAACTAATTCAAATTAAATCACAAGCGAAAGGAGTGACGAACTTTTCTATATGGTATTATATCGATTTTTACCCTCCATTTTTAATAACTGTAAAAGAAATCATTTTCCCATTTTTGAATTTTTTACAATAATATTTTAGTCTTTCCTAAATATTGACATATATATATATATATATATATATATATATATATATATATATATATTGATTTTTCGTTTTTATTTTTAATAAATTTGTACAATTTATTTTTTGTTATTCATAGAAAAAAAAAGTGATCACTAGATAAGTCAAGTAAAAAGTTTATAAATGTAATTTTTAATTATTCTAATTAAAAAAATAATCAATATGATGAAAATGAGGTTATTTATCTTTCTTTATAGTTTAATTTCGTGTTATTTTTTAACCTTTTTTTTTTTACATATAAAATTTAAAATTAATGTTAGTCGATTCAAATAATGAAATTTACAGTATTATTATTCTAACTTTTCATAATCACTTTAATGATTACAATTTTATATATATAATTTTAAATTAATATAATAACTTCAAAAAATTATCATTTTATATAAATATAATATTATACTAAACTAAAACTTAAATTTGTTAGGACGATCAAACAGATTAATATCTCTACAACTCAGAGATTTTTTTGAACTTATAAGTATTTATAAGTCATACCTCACGGTGAGAATCTGGTTTTAATACCAATTTGTTATAAAGGTTCGAGAATTTACTTGAATGTAAGATGAAATATTTTTTTTACAGTGATTAATATTTTTTTTATAAATTCTTTTAATTACATAATATCCGTAATTTTTTTTCTTTCATAATTTCTTTTAATGCCATACTTGAAGGATATTATGTTGAATTTATATTTTTTTCTTGAATTGATTATCACTTCATTATAATTTATTTCTCATAACAAGTAAAATTCTCAATAATAAATACTAAATATACCGTTATATAAGATAAAAACAGAGTAATATATTTATCTACCACATTTATTAGAATGCATATTTTATTATTAATTAAATAAATTCGTTGGAAGTTCCATTAATATTATTAATTAAATCAATTCGTCGGATTACTTCTTCTTGACATTATAAAAGTTATATCGTGGATTAATTTAATTCAAGAAAAAGTATTATAAAAAAAACATAAATTGAAATAAAATTATCATTTGACTCCCAAATCTTTAGATAAAAATAAAGAAACTTATACCATTAAATAATAAATAAGAAATTCATAAAATACTAGAATTACTAAAATAATAACAATAATATCAATAATATATTTACAAATTTTCAGAGAATTTTAAATATAATTATTCAGAAAATTTCTTAAAAATCAAAGACATTATTTGAATATAAATTTTACAGTTAGAAGAATTACTTAAAAAAAATTGAGTTATAGGATTTTTTTTAAATAATCTTGAGATTAAATTTCTCAGTCACTTTCTTTTATCATGTCCTTGCATCTTCAATAAGGTCACAGAGGATGAGTCGTTGTTGGGCAATGTAGCGTCTTCGATAACCATGGCCGAGGAAGAAGAACACGCTGTCTCATCCTAAAACCCAAAACAGAATAATACAAGCATAAGTAGTAATAATAATAAAAATGAAAACTTTACTAAATATTTTGGATCCTAAAGAGAAACTCACTCACATGGGAATCGATGCAGAAAGAGTTGGATGGCCAAGAGGCAGAAGCGGATTCATTCTCCCTTTCTGCACCATTGTTGTTGCGAGGGTTCGCGCAAGGACGATATTGGTGAATATTGTTGAGCAACCAGTGCCACATGGAATCTGCATGGGCGACACAAGATTGACAAAAGGCGACGGTGGGTGTGAGTTTTTCGCCGGAGGCTTTCCAGGGGGTGCGGGAACGGCATGAAACACACAGACCGACACGCCAATGTTTAGCCACCAAGAAATTGGCGCTGTGAACCTTCTCGTCGCAGTCCCAACATAACTTTGCCTGGTCGGAGTCGCACACTATCGCCGCCCTCTGCTTGCACATCGAACATCCCTCTTCCATTTCTCTTTTCTCTTCTGTTATCTTCTTCTTCACTTCTTCTCTGAGTATTGCTTCTTCTTCTTCTTCACTTCTTCTCTCTGAGTATTGAGTTGTTTATTTATAATATCCCATGAAAAGCTACAGAAAGTTAGATATTTTATTGAACTCCATTTGTAACTGAATTTTCTCATCCAAACCCTACATCTCTTGTTGACTTTATCATGTTTTGTTTACTCTTATTCTGTTAAGATCATCTTATCTTTTTCTTAAATATTTTAAAGAAAAATTACAAATTAAAAATCTCTCCTAAAAAATATTTATCTAATAATTTTACTTATTAATATTTAATATCCATATATTAATTATTTTGCTTCTATATTATGCAAGATGGGACAATTATTAGTGAGATAGTGTAAAACTAATTATAGTAAAAATAATAATTGGATGTTATTTTGTGTGTTTTAGAAACATTTATAGTCAAGTTTTTAAAAAAATATTATCAGAAAAAATTAACTTTTTAAATTTAAATAAAAAATTACTTGATGAAAATGTCATGATATTTTTAGTAAATTATTTATTACATTAGTGTTTTTTTAATAAAAATAGCATATTATTATTCATTTTTAAAAATATAATAAATATTTTTCACCAAGAAAATTGAGTCATTTTGTGTTTATTATCAAGATTCATGATTTCTAGAAATTAGAAGAAAAATATCTCTTAACAAACACCTGTCATAATAGTTAAAAAGAAAACGTAGGAGTGCAAAAATATATCAAATGTTCAAAAAAAAAAATTAAAGATGAAGAAAAAAACGAGAAGCTTTCCCCTTAAAATATAACCATGAAGCAAATTTGGAAAAAAAAAATTACCAACACAAAAAGATTTAAAAAAATATTAAAAAGTAAAAGCATCAACTAAGAAAAATGACAACAAAACCTAATTATGAACTAAACAACCTCATTCATGAACTAAACAGTTAATATATTAATTTAACTTGTTAAATTATTCAATTAATTTAAGATATATACGCATATCAGTTTAAAATCTGCTGACATTGAAATCTAATAAAACTAAAATAGATTGGACTACGCTGAAAAAGCATTAAAAATATATAGATTATAACGAGCTTAATGAAATAAATTATATATATTAGAAAAATTATTTGCATTTTGTGAAAGAGAAAAAATATTTATAATTGAGAGAAAAAAAATTGATGACTTTGATGATGAAGTGAATGATATGAAAAGGTAAAAGAGTAAAATGACATGTTCCATAGTTATTGGCTTGTGTGCTCCCCTTGTCTCCTCTCTGTGACAGCTCTTTCTCTTTCTTGTTCCCGCCATATTCGGCGACGTTTGAAACTTTCTTTCTCTTCTTCATTTCGATTTCGTTAATCAAATCAATATTGTGGCGATAACGATTGAATAATAATAATAATAATAATAAAAGAAGAGTGTGATTGTGAATGAAGAAAGCTCAGTGATCAGTGAAGAACAATGGAGAAGTACCTCAGAGAAAACTTCAGCGTCCAGCCGAAGAACCCTTCCGAGTCCGCCCTCCGCCGATGGAGATCCGCCGTATCCGTCGTCAAAAATCCCCGTCGACGCTTCCGCATGGTCGCCAATCTCGCCCAACGCGCCGACGCAGAAAACAAGCGTAGGAAGCTCCAGGTAAAATACCTAATCTCTCTCAATAAATGCAATATCCATTGCTTCTTTCGTTCCGCTTTCGGATCAAAATCCGATTTGTTTTGCTCATTTTGCAACAAATGTCCGTTCAATTTCTTGGTGAAAACGCATCCACATTGGTAGCTTAGGGCGAAATGAAAGCTAGTTCTTAGTATAATTAAGTCCTTATTAGAGCCATTTATCAACCGACTCTGGTTTCTTTTTAAATATGAATTAATCTTAATCATGATAAAATTTTACGTTGAAAAATGTACATGATCCGCAGAATTGATGGTGATATCGCCCACGTTTTGGAGCTTATTTCACACGGTTTCGCAAAATTCACTTTTTTTTTTTTCATGAATCGGGATCTTCTTCCGTGAATAGAATTTACTTGTTTTTTTTTATCGGAACTTCTTTTGTGATCGAAAATTTAAGGGTTCTGATATTATTTTTAAAACTTTTCTCTCTCACCAACTTTATTTTTGAAGATATCTAAACTTATTTGATCTAGAAAACCACTGCATAGATGAACCTGACAACAGTGAATTTGGATTTCTCTGTTACCAAAATGATTATATTTAGTGTTTACTGTTTCTCATGTCATGTAGGGTTTTCAGAGAAAAAAAAAAACTCTTTCTCTGTCTGTTTTTCACACACCTCGACTTAACATCGAAGTTCTATTAAAATAAAAGATGAGGGTAATAAATTTTGAAATTACTTGTTTTAGAAATCGAATCTCAAAAGCTTCATTAACACAATGATACTTTATATCTAACACTTACTACGCCTATTTCACACCGTTGAAACAATGAATTACAATCTTTTAAAGATAGGCAAACTTTATTTGTGAGGCAAATGGCTGCCTCATATATGTCCCGTTGAATTGTAGTTTTTCAACACAATTAAAGCTACACATATTTTAATTTTTTCTATTAAGATATCATGCCAATGTAGTTAACCCATCCATAACAACTTGTTCCATGATATGTTATGCAATATAAAACAAAGATTAATCTTTGAGTCAGTTTCTTCTTTGTCCTTGGTGTTTATTCTTTAGTCTTTACTGGTGTTTCTCTCAATTCCAGTATATTTCCAAAGTAAACTTCACTGATTTTATAAATGTTTCATGACATTTATGTTACTATTTACCATATAGAATCTCAGATTTTAGAAATTGTGTATGAGTCATAAGATTTTAACACAATCCCGGACAAGTATATATCATTCTGAATAATTTGATGACTGTCATCTCAATTTTGTGTTGGTTAAAAAACAGTACAGTAATAAACCAGTACATAATTACTATCCACACATTCTATATCCGTCCTTAAAAACCAGAAGATGCAATATATGATTTTTTATTTTTTTTAATAATTTTGCTTCCTTTTCCTACTTCTTTGCCAACTTTATACATTAACTAATTGAAATTAATATATAATATAATATCATTTAATATGCAATAGAAAAATGGGTGTGTTTTTTTTCTTCTTTCCTTTATTGTTGTCGACTTCAATCGTAATTGTGATATGTAACAGCTTTTTAAATTATATTCTTTTTCAGAGTCAGATTAACCTGTACTCTGTTAGTAAAAAAAAATATACCCAATCCCATTAATGAGTTTCACGCTGCAGATAATATAAATTATATTTATTAGATAAAGAATGTTGTCCAATATTATTAATTAAATTATCTTACCTTGGATTATTCACTTAATACAATCTACAAACACTTATTTAATATTTTTCTATATTTTTAATTTTGTTTTTCGTATTATATATATATATATATATATATATATATATATATATATATATATATAACTTTTTCACAGAGGTCAATTAGAATAAGAGTGTTCATGCAATTTTTATTTTTTTATCAATATATGATTATATGATGTCACACGGAGTAACACTTTTTTTATAAAACACTGTTTGATGCTTAGTTGGATAGTTTATATTTAAATTTAGTGAAGTAATAGACTATCATCTTTGTATTTTATTCTTTTAGGTAAAGAGTTTATGATAAAAGAGGTTATAATTCCAAGTTAATTATGTCACGCTACGCATATTTTATGTGCAATTGAGTGTTTTTTGTTTGGCTAAGGAACTAATAGATTTAATATCTGCCACTGTAAAAAATGATAAATACAGCGAAAAAAACAATATCTACCAGTAGTGAGCAGTTATCTGGAAGCACAAACAGGATGAAAATTTCAGGAACTTAAACGTATACATATCCTCTAAAGGTTGAATGACATGCATTTATTATATGTCGCCCTAACACACCTTGCATATGCTTTAACTGTCTTGACCAGGAAAAAATAAGGGTGGCTCTCTATGTTCAAAAAGCAGCTTTGCATTTTATTAACGGTACACACACTCAATCGCTTTCATTCACCTTTTTTTTTTTTCACTCGTTCTGTTACATTGTTTGTTCGTCTCATCCAGCTGGGAACCGTGGTATTGGTGACCGCATTGGCAGAGGTGGAGTTGGTCAGGTGGGCGACGGGGTTGGCCGCGGTGATGGTGGTTCTGGTGGTTACATGCTCTCAAACGAGACTCAGGAAGCAGGCTTCGGAATTGAGCCCGACGAATTAGCCTCCATTGTCCGATCCCATGACAACAAATGTTTAGAACTTCATGAAGGAGTGGAAGGAATAGCAAGGGCTGTTCGTGTGTCCTTGCATGAGGGCGTTATTTCAGTTGATGTGGAGCATAGACAAAATATCTATGGTTTTAACCGCCACGCCGAGAAGGCCCCTAGAAGCTTTTGGATGTTCGTTTGGGATGCAATGCAGGACTTAACTCTAATCATCCTTATGGCATGTTCTTTGGTCTCAGTAGGTGTTGGAATCTTAACTGAAGGTTGGCCAAAAGGTATGTACGATGGAGTGGGAATCATACTATCTATCCTTTTAGTGGTCTTTGTCACTTCAATTAGTGACTATAAACAGTCTTTGCAATTTAAGGACTTGGATAAAGAAAAGAAAAATGTCAGCATTCAAGTTACAAGAGACGGTAGAAGGCAAAAGGTTTCAATTCATGATCTAGTGGTAGGAGACATAGTCCATCTTTCAATAGGAGACATAGTTCCTGCAGATGGGTTATGGATATCTGGTTTCGGATTATTAATAGACGAGTCAAGTCTATCAGGTGAGAGCGAGGCTGTGAATATTGACGGCAGGAAGCCTTTTCTTCTATCTGGGACCACAGTGCAAGATGGGTATGCTAAGATGCTGATCACATCCGTTGGTGTGAGAACGGAATGGGGAAGATTGATGGATACTCTGAACGAGGGAGGAGATGATGAGACACCACTTCAGGTCAAACTAAATGGAGTTGCTACCATTATTGGAAAGATAGGCTTGGGTTTTGCCCTGCTCACATTCATGGTTCTAACGAGCAGGTTTTTGTGGAGTAAAATAGCTCAGCATGAGATTACAAAATGGTCCCTAAATGATGCATCCCAACTTCTCAATTTCTTTGCCACTGCTGTCATTATAATAGTTGTGGCAGTTCCTGAGGGGCTTCCTTTGGCAGTAACACTAAGCCTTGCATTTGCCATGAAGAAATTGATGAATGACAAGGCACTAGTCAGGCATCTCTCCGCATGCGAGACCATGGGTTCAGCAAGTTGTATTTGCACTGATAAAACGGGGACCTTGACTACAAATCACATGGTTGTAGACAAAATATGGATTTGCGAACAAACTAAGGTCATTAAAAGCGGCCCAGGTGAAAATGTGTTGAAGTCCTCAATTTCTGAACACACATTTGATCTTCTTTTGCAATCCATATTCCAGGATACTGCCTCAGAGATAGTCAAAGGGCTGGATGGAAAGAACAAGATCTTGGGTTCTCCCACAGAATCGGCACTGTTGGAATTCGGCTTGCTTTTGGGAGGTGATTCCAAGTTTTATAACAACAAGTATAAAATCGTGAAGGTTGAACCTTTCAATTCAATCAGAAAAAAGATGTCACTGCTGGTGGCTCTTCCCGGTGGCACCGACAAGTATCGAGCATTTTGCAAAGGAGCATCTGAACTAATTGTGAAAATGTGCGACAAAGTTGTCAACGCAGACGGCGAAGTGGTCCATTTGAACGAACAACAAAAAATTAGCATCACAGAAGTTATCAACGGTTTTGCTTCTGAGGCTCTGAGAACACTCTGCATTGCCTTCAAGGACATTGAAGGATCTTCTAAACGTGATTGTATTCCTGAGGACAAGTACACGTTGATAGCTATTGTTGGGATAAAGGATCCAGTGAGGCCTGGAGTAAAAGAAGCTGTCAAGACTTGTTTAGAAGCTGGCATTGTCGTTAGAATGGTGACTGGTGACAACATAAATACCGCTAAAGCAATAGCTAGAGAATGCGGCATATTGACAGATGGAATCGCGATAGAGGGACCGGATTTCCGGAACAAGTCTCCGCAAGAATTGGAAAAGATTATACCGAAAATACAGGTCTTGATTATTTATTGTTCAGTGGATACTCGTTTTAAAGTTTAGCAAGGATAGGACATTTATAAATTGGTTGCTTGACGTTTGTAGGTAATGGCCCGATCCTTGCCTCTTGACAAGCACAGCTTAGTGAGCCATTTGAGGGAGAATTTTAATGAGGTTGTGGCAGTAACTGGTGATGGGACCAATGATGCCCCAGCGTTGCATGAGGCTGATATTGGACTTGCTATGGGCATTGCAGGGACAGAGGTTTGTTACTGCAGCTACAATCTATACATCCATGATGATTTCATGGGATACTTTCCATTTATTGTTCCATCTGAGATTATGTGTCATTATGTGATTGATTTGTTTCATCCATCAAAACAAGTATCATCGGAGGAATAAGGCTTAGGCCTCCCATTAATTAGATCACATTTAGCATCTGATCCTAGTGGCTTTGGTCACTTATTTTACAGAACATTGTGCGCTAAGTATTGTTAATCTTGATCTTCTCCAGGTTGCAAAAGAGAACGCGGATGTGATTGTAATGGATGATAACTTCTCAACCATAGTGAATGTTGCCAGATGGGGTCGTGCTGTTTATATTAATATACAAAAGTTTGTCCAGTTCCAGTTAACCGTTAATGTTGTAGCTCTCGTGCTGAATTTTATTTCAGCATGCGTGTCAGGTAATAAGTACAGCTAGCTTCTCAAGACGGTCTTTCCAGGTCATTGCTATTTAGTTCAACTCCGATGACTAATCACAACAGAGAAAACATTTCAGGCTCTGCTCCTCTTAGTGCTGTTCAAATGCTTTGGGTAAACATGATCATGGACACTCTCGGCGCGTTGGCACTGGCTACAGAACCTCCTCATGATGGGTTGATGAAGAGGCCACCTATTGGAAAGAACGCCAAATTCATCACCAGGGTCATGTGGAGGAACATAATTGGTCAGAGCATCTATCAAATCATCGTCCTTCTGGTTCTCAAATTTCGTGGGGAACAGATTCTCAAGCTCAATGGACCTGATGATACTACCTTTCTTCTGAATACCGTCATATTCAACACCTTTGTATTTTGTCAGGTAATAAATCATCTGACTTCCATGCATACTCTTCCTATCCATTGTTACTTTATGCGTATGCTTGGCCTAGTTACATACAGTGGTGTAATTTTGGTAACTTCCATGCATCCTGAGGCAATACTAAGCAACTCATGTCATTGAAAACAACATTGGTGTCATTAATAGGTGTTCAACGAGATAAACAGCCGTGACATGGAGAAGATAAATGTTTTTGAAGGCATGTTAAGCAGCTGGGTTTTCGTGATGGTGATGGGTGTGACGATATGCTTTCAAGCCTTGATAGTTCAATATCTGGGGGCTTTTGCTCAAACGGTTCCACTGAGCCCGGAATTGTGGTTAGCAAGCGTGATGATTGGTGCGGTAAGTTTAGTTGTAGCTGTTCTCCTGAAGTGCATTCCAGTTCCATCGAGTACCTACACCGCCACCAATCATGATGGTTACGAGCAGCTCCCCAGTGGCCCTGATCTGGCATGAATACGATAGATTAGTTAATGAGGCTCAGGATATAAATATATTAAAGCTTTCATTCAATTTTTTTCAAATCCTCAGAGAAAGATATACCATAACTTATCATCATCATCCTTGGTTGTCTTTGTTTCTAGAGTTAGACCGTTCCATTCCCACCTTTCTTTCTGCCCTCATTTGTTGGGCATACTGTCATTCTCCTGACTACGATATCATCTAACCTTCACTCTTCCTCTGCTTTTCATCCCTTCATCACAACTCTATGGGAGAATGATTTTTGTCTGTAGTCAAACTCTTAATTTGCTGGTAAACTTTCTAGGCTAAGTTTAGAAAATTTTATTTATTGTCGACTTATTACACGAACGGGATTATTGTTCAAAGCTAATAGTTTATTTAAGAATAAGTTATTCATATAATACATTTTTAGAACCATGTTTCCATGTTTATTCATAGAATAAGTTTATGCTGGTAATAAGTTTCACATATTATTAACTTTATCATATACTTCTCTCTTCTCTCTCTTTCCTTTAGTTTAATGTATAAAGATGTTACTCTTTATTTGTTAAATTTCATGATCCTGCACCAAAGATCAATTTGGTAGTTTGAGAATTTAATATTCTTCACTCTTACTATTTTAGGCCATTTTTTTTCATCTAACTGAGTCAATAAGTTAAATTACTCACGAACTTATAGAAAAAATAATAATAAATAAGTATTCTTTTAATAAACTAAAATTAATTTACATATAAATTAAAAATTATAGTCTATAGAAGTTAATATAGAGCATTTTCCTAAGAAGTTACATTCTGCATGAAATACTTTCTCTACTCAACTAATCATCGCCCACTGTCACTTGTAGATTTCATATTTATTTCTTGAAGATTGGATTTCGTGGAATATTCTTATATAGTAGTATTTAACCATTTTATTTTAGATTATTTCTTTCTTAAACAGCTCAAAAATTATTTTTTATTGAAGTAAACTTTAAAGGTTCCACAGTCATTCTGTTAATGTCTTTAATCATTTTTTTCCTAACCTAAAATGCTAATATTCTTCTTAACTTCTTTATTTTACTTGGATATTTTCACTTAATTTTATTTGAATTTAAATGATCAAAATTTAAATTTAGATAAACAAAGGATAAATTTAGCTGAATAGATAGATTGAAGTGAACTTTTCTAACCTACGTGTCCTTGTTATCAGTTTTCCTTACCATAAAATTCTGCATGAATGAATATGGTGCTGTACTTTCCTTCTTTTTTCTGCTAAAAAACCTGCTCTTTAAATCTTTCTTATTCTGTCTCAACAATCCACAAACATGGTACATTATTTTTTATCGTGGACTTTGAATTGTGTGATGTGTTGAGACTTTTATGTGGTGGAGTGCTTGTGCAGATGAACAAGTCTAATCCATTTGTAACATATGGAACCAATATTCTTGCAAAACAACATCCCAACATTATCATGTTATGCACATTGTACCCTAGCCTTTGACCTTCCCAACTTCCTAATAATTTGAACACCCTCTTACTTGCTTTCAAATATATTTGCTTTTCATCGTCTTTTTTTGTTTCATAAATACTCTATTTTCAAAATCTTCTACAACCCCCGTTTTTCCTTTTAAGTTGTTCCCCAAATTAATTTCTCATTTATTTGGTTCTGTTTGGATTTGACACTAAACCCAACAAATTATTATATATGGATTTGAGTTCAAAAGCAGCTTCACTTGAGTGTGGATAAAGTAGATGATACAATAATTTAAATTCATATATCTTACCTAACTATTTAATTTTTGTATTCATTATTTAGTTTCAACATATCCTTAAAAGTCTTCCTTTATCTCTAACATGTTTAGTAGCCAATGCAATTAATACATTAAAGAAAACTTGCACTTATCCTTTCTAACTTTTTTTTTTAATGATATTTACACTTTTTTATAGTTTTATATCTTATTTTATTTTAATAAGATAATATTCATAATTTTTAATTTAAAATAACTTTTCATCTCTTTATCTTTTTAGTAAGCAATACTCATTTTTCTTTTCCTTTTTTATAAATCATGTAACACTCATTTCTATTATTTTACTTTTAAATAACATACTCACTAAAATTTAAAAATATTATAAAAAATAAAATTGTAAATTTTTTATGTATTTTTTTATAAGAAAACAAGTGAATTATTTAATTATAGAAAATTTAATCTCATATTTATTAAAATATTATTAAGTGACATTCAGACATTATAGAAATTATCCATATAGAACAACATTCTCATTGTATATGATAATTTATTTAAGTGAAATTATTCTCAGAACTAATACATCATAAAAAAAAGTCTAATTTTTAAATACATCTCCCATATATTATTTATAAAATAAAAAACATGTTTCTTCGTTATATTTATTCATATTTATAATTTTATTACAACTATATGTGTATATAATCAAAAGTTAATTAATTTAATCATATGTTTTATAACTATATACTAATTTTATATTAAAATAATAATTTTTTCAAAAATATAATTTGTATATTTTTCTAAGATATATAGTAATTAAATCAATAAATTATTATTTATAAACAAATATTTTTTTCATATTTTAACTTTGAATTTCAATTTTATTATTTTCATTTAAATTTTAGTCAATGTGTTAAATAAAATAAGAGAAGAAAAAATTAATTCAATAAAATATAATTAAGATGTGTATAATTTATTAAAAAATTATAAATATAATAAATATGTATATGAAAACGAAATTTATATTAACATTGTTTACCAAGAGAGACATGACAATGTACATTTAATAGAATATATAGACAAAATTAACAACCTTAAATGAAATAAAGTAAAGAACTTTGAAATATTTGTGTGGAAACAACCATAACCAAACAATGAAAATGGTTTCATATTTCCCTTTTTGTTTGAAGGAGAAGATTACACTCCATTAAATAGCGTTGACTGTTTGTTGACCTGAGTAGGGTTCACCAACCCATTTAAATTTGAACACCCATCTACCAAGTAATAATAATAATATCTCTTTCTCTATTTTAATTTACTCATCTTATCAATAACTTCTTTAAATCTCTCTACAAGATCAATTAAAAAAAATATTTTTTTTTACTTTCAAAGAAAAAAAGAAACTTAAGTAAAATTTTAAGAGAATAAATTAATAATATTTAAAATGAAAAATATTTAACTAATTTATATAATATTAAATATGTTTTTTATTTTTATAATTTTTTTCAAATTTGATTTTCCTCTCTATGTTTAAAATTAAAATAATTAATCCTCAACCTTCAAAGAAAATATATGAATTTAATTAAAACATCTTATTAAATATTATATTTAGGCCTAAATAAAAATTAATCAATATTAAATTTTAGCATAAAAATTATTAAAAATACATATTTTCATAAATTAAAAGATTAATTAATAATTTTTAAGTCTAAAAATCAAAATAAAATTTGAAAAAAATAGCATATACCAAAAAAATATTTAATTGAATAAGATAACGTTTACTTGAAAATAAATAGTTTGAAAATGTAAGCTATTGGACAAAACTAAAAAAAATTAATTAAATATAAGTAATAGTGTGTATTTATTAATTAAATTAACATCAAATACTAATTAAAATTAATAAGATTATATCAAAACAAATTTTAGATATATTGTTCTATAGTTTATAATAGTCCTATTTGTTACTCATGAACCCTTTGAAAAAAAAATTTAATAGTAATAATTTGTAGTTTTAGAACATTGTTAATGCTATCTTAGTTATAATAAGGTATCACTGTTTATTACTTAAAATTCAAGTCTACTTCGAAATTTTTCATAGAAATCACAATCATGCACAGAGTTTCATCACATGCAATTTGTGATACATTCTCTAATGGATTTAATGACTCTTTTTCTTTTTTATGTAATTAGATCCTCTCTTTAGATCATATCCCTCTCATGAAAAAGTTTATTTTATTTTTTCTCTTGTCATTCAAGATGAAACAGAAAGGTGGGTTGGTGTTTATTCTGCTTTAGGTTTTACTTTAAATGATTCTCATGTTTTAGTTAAGAATTTTGTATCTGATAGAAAGTTCAAAGACAAATAATGATAAACACTTTTGTTAACATTATGGCATTCTTGATAAGGATAAGTATTTGATGTTTCATGTATAACCCTTACATTTTTCCTATTCTATTGAATATTTTGACAATTGATTCGAGAGACAAATTTCCACTTTTGAACATTTTATTTTCATTTTTTTACTCAATATCACCATTTTTCAATAAGATCGCTACTTTTTGAAAATGTTTTTTATACAAGATTCACATAGCTGCAAGAAGATTGGCAGGATGATTTAGTTATGGTTTATACGTTTTTCTAAACTCATTTTTCTTTGAATAATATCATAATTCTCATTTGTCATTACTTGTAAATGTTCTGTCACTACCACCTTATTACATACTTGAACAATATTTCTTTTTCCATGCCTCATCTCTTAATTATTCCATATCATCATCAATCCTTCGAAGTTAAAAAAATATATATTTCTATTTTAAGATAATAAATTTTAGCAAGTAAATTAAAATGTTGAAAATATTTGTGGTGCTCAATCATGCAAGACAGTGATGGAGAGTCAAAATATGAAGACTTGGGTGAAGAAAACCAAAAAGTCCAAGAATGGATGAAGTACTGCGCATGATATCTTTGAAAATTAGGCAAAAAGAGAGAGGGAGGGCAAATGTTAAAAATAAAATAGTTATGCTGCCACGAACACTGAAGTTGAAATTGCAATCAGGGGTTACCATCTGTTTCCACATTCACCATGTTTCTAGAATCCTATGCCACCAAAATATAACCACATGCACGCACACGACCGTGACATGTGCAAACATGTCTTCATCATAAAGGGGACAGCGATATTAATCACACATACAATTCAGTCCCAAAAACACAATCTAATTGGTGAACTTCCAAGAAACCAAGCATGGATTTACTAGTCACTAGTCATGGGTCACCACCATTGAGGTAATGTTCTGTTTGCCTATGGTGTTTAGGTTGAATCGTATTAAAAGGAAACTAACGTGTCAAAGCAAAACAAAACAAAAGAGAAGAAACCAACCAACCAACATTGCGGCTTGTGCTTATCCCACCAGATTAAACGTTTTCACAAACACCTAGGGGGCTCTTCAAGTCCTGGAAGAGGGCAAGTTGAAAAACAAAAATAAAAAAGAAAGCTTTGCACAGTAACTAGCACGGCCCGTGTTACACACATTCAGAAGGCCACAGACACCAAAAGATTCGAGTTTCAGGCCACTTTTGTCATACGTGTGGGCATCTACCCTACTTTTAGATCTGTGCATGTCCTTTCCTGTCATGAAAGAGAATCTAAAGGGTAGAGAGATAAATATCTATGAGAGAGAAAGTGGCACTGGCATCACTCACATGGGTAGAGGGTCCTATGCACAACCTGTCATTATATAAATGTGTGTGGCCCACTTGCAGTGTCAGCAACCCCATGTGATTGTGTGCCTTGTGGATCCCACTTCTTTCCTCACCAATAATGGCAAAAAAAAGACATACCCCACCATTTTACAATTTGAAAGGCAAAAATAATTGAAGGAACAAAGAGACAAATTCTCCTTTAAAATCAAAAGGCACACATCAAGAGAGGCAAATAGACCAATTAGTCTTAAAACTCACTTTTGATTCTTCTTTCTAATTCTTTCTCTTTTCTGTCTGGCTTCATCATAACTGTGTATAATAATAACAACTAAGTAGAACTTCTGCAAACATAACTGAAACATAACATCCAAAGCTAATATCTCCACTTTGAACTTTAACCCAGCTCTAAAAGATTAACAATTATACACTCTCCCCTCTTCAATTCTGGCCTTCAAACACCAGTTCAGTTACCCATCATGGGGGGGGATTCATTTCAATCAGCCTTGTACTTATACAACTCTGCATTTACGGTTTTAACGCTTCATCTATGCATGCTTTGCTTTCTCTGGGTAATGCTCCAGCTGTACAAACACTTCAAATTATACCTGTAATAACAACATACCACTAACAATCTACACTACTACATCCAAGGGTAATAAGAAGAAATTACAGTGCCACGGAGTTCCTACTACACATTGACTCTGGTGATTCTTTGTGTTATTTTTAACCTGTGGTTCATTCAGCTACTACAGATATCAGAAGAAAGAAAATGATGGTACTACAATAATGCTAACAAAAGAAAAGGGAAATGCCTGCCCCACTTCCTTTACTGAACTACTTTTACGTATGCATTTTGTATGGTAGTAAGGAGTATAGTATTGATGATTGAAGATCATGGCCGTCACGGTGGTGGTGGTGGTGGTGATTCTCTACACTGTTTTCCAGGTTTGTTCAGTCATCTTTCACTTCCTGTAAATGTTGCACAAAAAAGACCAAACCAACACCCAAAATTTAATAAACTGAACAACAGACCGATCAACCTTGAAGACAACATGCAACTGCGCCTAATCCAACATATTCTTTCCAACTAGATTTTACCTGAACATCAGCAAACTAAATGTCAATTGGTCCACCGGTTCCTGCTAACATCCCAATAGTTCCATGGCCAGAAGAGAACCTAAATCCAAACCAAGATCAACAAAAACTCAGAAGCTTGTGGGATACTGAAACTCATGGTCTAGGGAAAGAAGGCTAAAAAGGTGATGATGCCAATACCTTGGTATTTGGCAGTTATAGGATTTAAAAGTTCCCATGTCAAGAGCAGAAGATGGTGGAAGTAATGCGCTAGTACCAAATTTAGAGCTGGCAGATGCACCTGAGGCATCTGCCTCAATGGCCTCATTAGGTCCATTGGAGAAGGAAACCATGAAGTCACCAGCAGCTTTTGTTGGGGAAGCAAAAGGGCTATCAGGGAGATTATGCTCCAAGCTGCATTTATTCATAAACCATATAAAATACTGACAATCAAATTTGGGAAAATAGGAAAACCTGAATAAATGCACATTTTTTTGGCATAGACTGAAAAAGGAATTTGGTGCAAAAAGGTGTTTACTATTCTGGTGCACTTTTAGCATTTTAAATAAGAACAAGTTTTATACCATTCTTGCAAATCACGATCTCCGTGACTGGAGCTCTGCTTCCCATTGCCTTCCTTATATCCATTCTCTCCATTGACCACCATTTCCTTGCCAACAGATATGTTGACCGGCTGCTGACCAGCAGAAACTGATGAAGTGCTAGCTGGAGCAGAAGTTGAACCACTCTCTGGTATCAAATAGCATAAATCTCAACCAATTCATTACATTCCGCAGAAATGCACCAAGTTTAATTAAAGAAAACATGCAATCAATCGCATTTAAAAATGAGAGAGAGAGAGCGGGAGAGATATACCCTTCGGGGCCTCTGAACTAGTGTGAAAGGAAGGAAAAACAAGATTTTGGTTGAACATGTTAGGAGAGTGGGTGGGGGAAGGAATTGGACTTCCAGTGGAGAGTGCACGCTGGTGATGCTTCTTGATATCAAGAAGTTGCAGACCCATTAGTCTCCTACTTTGTAACTCAAGAGCTTGCTGCAAATCAGCTTGCTCCTCCAGCTTCCTCCTCCACAGCATGTCTTGAGCATTGTAGAACATTCTGCCTCCTGAAAACATACAAGACAACCCACGCGTTAAGTAGAGTAGGTTTGACCAGCAAACAACTTGAAAGAATAATAAAATGGAAGGTTCAACCAAAAGCATTAACCTACCAAGTTGAAGATCGAACTGGTCTCTGGCATCTAGTCCAGTTGGAGTACCACATGGTGAAAAATCTCCTCTATCTACCTGCTGCTGCTTCCTGCGAAACACACGAAACATGAAAACATTCAAAACCAACAGAAGACAATGACAAAGAAAAGATAACGCGAGTAGAAAGAGAGGGTGCCTGTACTTGTCCGGAACTTTGCCCTTCTCCTTGTAAGGCTTAACAAGCACTCGAGCATCACACACAAAATGAGGATTTCCTTTAGATAGAATAAGCTTCACGGTCTCCGGAAATACAAAAGTCACAAAACCAAACATTCGCTTCTGCTGGTATGGGATCCTAACGTCTTGGACAGGGCCATAAATACTTCAATCACAGAATTAAAAACTAAGTTAATATTTCTGTCATTGCCAAAATATTCATACTGACCCCAGCTAAGGCTAAACTAAACAACAATAACCTGAAGTAATTTGAAACATCTTCCTCTCTGAAAGTGCTATCTGCTGGGAAAGTCAAGTAGATCTGTCTGGAAGCTGGGTTTACCATTCCAGGACTGTTCAAGGAAAAATCATTTCTTTCGAGCCTGGATCGTCCAAATTTATGCAAATCCTCACTCATCATCAGAGCTGCAGCTGCCGCTCTGCAATTATTATCAACCATGATTACAATTCTGCACCTCGACTATTACAAAGACAACACAAACCAAAACACATGATTGCATGTTAGTATTGTGTACCTTTGAGTATCATTCTGTTGCTGCTGCAACAGCAAATTCATGCACTTGGGGGAATATGGAAAAGTGGGTGAGGCCATGAGCTGAGAAGCAGCAGCCAATCTATGCTGCTGAGAAGATTTGGATCTGAAGAGCTCATGGCACTGCTCCATCATCTCAATCTTGCTAGGAGAACCTACCATTGCAGCAGCAGCACCATCTGCATCTCCAAGTCCACCGTGAAGGAACCTACAACTAGTCCCATTTTTACAGTACCCTCTGGCAAAGTAAAGACAAGGCTTCCACCCCAATCCGGAGTTGGGGTCCTCAGAGCCTAAACAAGCATCATTGACGGAGCAACTCCTACGATGAAGAGATCCTCCCCAACCGTAGGAAGGAAAGAGAGCAGGGTCAGCTGCAGCAGTAGGGCTGGAAGACAAGTCTGAGTGAGGTGGGTAAAACAAATCTGGGTTGTTCTTGTGAGCAAGTGCAGTACTAGTAGGAGAACCATCGTTAAGGAAAGAAAGCTGGTCTTGAAGTTGGAAGTCATCAATTGGATCTGAGCCTCCGTTTACATAAAAGGGTAAGGAGGATGAAGAAGTGGAAGAACCAACAACCAAATGGTTGGGGCTCATCAAATCATCTGGGGTTTGAAGCTCAGACACAGTAGGCCATGAAGAAGAAGTTGAAGAAGGGTTTGGAATGGTGAGGGCGGGAGGGAGGTTGATACCACTAAGCCTTGAAGAAGTAGAGCTTTGCCTCGAAAGGAATGGTGAAGGAGAAGGAGGAGTGGAGGGTGTTGGCGGAGAGTTCGAAGGTAAACCTAACTCCTTGCGGGCTTTGACAATCACTGAGTGAACAAGTGCTTCGGGGCCAAATGCTAATCTAATCATTTCCTTCTCACCATGGTCTTGAAGAAGAAGCACACCCATGATTTTGGATGCATTTTCAGGGTCCAAGTTTTGGATCCTTGAAAACACAATTCTTGTAGCTTCGTAAGCATCCATGATTGAACAAAAAGATCGCAACTTAGTTACACAACAAGCTAGCCTAACTCTAAAATTCAAAATTGCTTTTTCAAGTTGTGTCTCTCTACTTCTCTCTCTATTCTCAAGTGGTCATCTTTTTCACTCCTGGTACAAGAAAAGTTTCTTTCTCAACCACACACAAGCCCTACCTACCAACTTGGGATGAGTAGTGGCACAGTGAGTTTCTTTCTCATATTCCTGCAAGTAAAGCACAACAGGAGAAGAAAAGTAAGTAAAAGAAGAAAAGGAGAAGGGGAGTAAAAAAGTTGTATGTTAAAAGGAGTATTCTCGTGTAGTTGATTAATGGGAGAAAACTAATGGAAGAGGATGCCAAGAGTTACCTTTGATTAAAGGAATGAGAAAATAAAGAAAAGGGAGAGAGACATAAGATGGTGGTTGAATTTCTCTATAAAGAAGTAATGAGTGCAAAAGTTGCAGAAACAACAAAAGGAGAAACTAACAAACAACAACAAATAACTCTTTTCCTTTTCTTTCTTTCTTTTTTTCCTCCCTCCTACTTACTAAGCTCCTTCTAAATCTCCAATCTTTTCCAAATTAAATTTGAAGTCCAAATCTGAGGAGAAGAGTTGGACCTTACCCATGAAAGGAAGATAAAGTCTCTCTCTCTTGGTTTGGTTAGTGCCAAGACAGTTGTTCCCCTCAACCTCAAACACAATGGTAGTCAAAGTTACTAGAAAAGCCAAACCACCGCCTTATTTATAATATGGTTGCAGATAGAAGCAGCAGAAGAAACATCAATTGCCTGAGTGCCCCTTCTGTGTTTTTATGGGGTTCTGGGCAACACTAGGCAGTGAAGTTGAGAACTGAACTCACAATTCTCATTTTGCCCTTCTATCTCTCTCCACTCCACTCAACTCAACTCAACTGCTAAGTGTTCTCTCACACTCCCTCTCACTATGAAGAAGGTGTGCGTGTGGTGGTGGTGTCCCTTATGTTATGTTGTGTTATGTGCTTCTTTGAGCGGATCCAGATCCCACTTGCCCCTCACCTCTGACATCCCTCTCTCTCTCTCTCCCTGTGTGTGTTCTTGTATGTAGTGTATTTAGTATTTACTTTCAATTTTCAAGCTTTCATTGCTTTCCCAAGCACACAGCACAGCAAAGCAAAACTCAACAGTCAACACCCTTTGCTTTGCCTTGTTTTACCTATCATTACTCTCTCCAGTTCCAATCTCAGAGTTTGGTCCTCACGCTCCAACAGAATCTCACATAGCCTTTCTGGGTCCCTCTCACCATAGGAGAGTGAAGAGCACGTACATGGCTTTTGCTTTGATTGGCTCATCATGTCTTTACCTTGGGAGGAGTCAATGCCACCCCAATCAAACACTCTCTCCTGCTCTCTGTCTCTCTCTCTCTTTTATTCTATTAATTGAGATTTATTATAAAGTATGTTCACTTATTTCTTCAAAAACATGTTAATAATAACCTATAAACAAATGTATTTATTTGTTGATAATTTTTAGAAGAAATGTTTTTAACAAATTATACCAAGTATTAAGATACACAGTACTTTTAAATGTACACATCACTTTCCATTTGGATTATTTCTTATTAGTGAGGTGGTGTCCCACAAGTTGTTGTTGATCAAGCTCCTCTCTTTGTTTTGGGGGGTCCATTTACAATTATCAATGTATATATGTAATTTATTTATGATTGTTGTTGTGATGATTACATGATAATATAATGTTATTATGTAAGAGAAAGAGAGAGGTTGTTCTTTTGAAGCTACAAAATCACAAAAGATATAAGGGATTTGTATATACATTTTTTATTTATTTTCTTACGAAGGGGATTTGTATAGAGATATGATAGCTGCATCTTGCTTTCTCACTTGTCGTTTTTCAGATGCCCCCACAAACAAATAAAAATGATGACACGATGTCTCTCTCTCTCCACCTCTTTCGTTTTTCTTTTTATTTTTTCTGTTCTCTCACTTTTTCAAATCCAAACACCCAACTTATATATCAGTATATTTAGTAATGCTTAACAAATAAAAGTGCATTTTTTTATACTTTTAAAAGGTTAGATCAACATCTTTTCATAATTACTCGTGTGATTTAAATCATTTCACAGCTTGTATTGCTGATTATTGACCACGGTATGTTCAAAAGGGTGTCAAAATCAGCCCAATTTCAACAACCAAACCTACATGAGAGTCATAGTGTGCTTGTTTTATGCTATTTCTTTTCTAAAATAATTACAGTTTAGTCTTTAATAAATGTTTAAGTATATTTTTAACTTCATCATTTTGAGTTTATTTTTTTTAGTATGTAAAGATTAAAAATACTTTTTCAACCGTTTCACATTTGAAAAAAAAATTATTTTAATCCTTTTTTGTCTAAAATTTGTATAACTAGAAGTTGTTAAAATAAATATTTTAAATTTATTAAATATATAATATTGTAATTGATATTCAAATTGATTGTAGTGTGAAATAATTAAAACTGAGAACAACACAAATGAAAGTGCATTTTGGAGATAATGGATTGAAAAACTAAATTTAAATTTTTAAAATAAATTAACATACTAAAAACTTATTTAATATATATAATATTTCAATATTTAAGATTAATAAAATAAAGTATCCTCTCTCTTTTTTCTAAATTTATAAAAAATCTATCTCACACTTGAATCATCAGTTTCTGTATAAACATGTAATTATTATAAATTAAATAAAAAAATAAAAACACTTATGATAAACTAATAATTTATAATAAATATACAATTTAATTATATTAAATAAAATTAATATATATGCAGTTTTATATATCTCATAACTATTTAATTCAAATTAAGATATATTTTTATACAAATTCATTATGTCACAAAAGTACATGATTCTAAGAATATTAAACATTAAAATATACTTAGACATTTATATATATATATATATATATATATATATATATATATATATATATATATATATATAAGAGAGTAAATTTGTATAAATTATAAAAATATAATTTTTTTCTACCACAATTTAAGTTTTTTTTTTTCAATTTTTCACCACTGGATTCTCTTATTTATATCTCAGCGTAAAATTAATATATTTCCTTAAATTTCAAATTTAATATTCATACGTATCATGTTAACAAGTAAAAAATACACCATAATATATGATCACATTTGCACAAAATAGAATCATTTACATTCTATCCAAATATTCACAATCACAATTTTTTTTTCTAATTAACTTATAACTTAAGCTTTTGAATTAAAGAATTCTAAATTAAAGCGAACTATTTTTCCTTTTTCAATATTCTTCATAAATCTTCATGCTTTTATATAATAATTTTGCTTTAATGAGATTATTTTTTTAGCAATAAACTTTCTTATCTGTGAAACAAACACTTCGCTTCAAATCTTTCACTTCAGCGAAATCACAATAAAATCAAAGTTATTATATAAGTAAAAATGAAACTAATACAAATTTCTTTCTTTCAAAAGTCCCGTGAGTGAAACATTTTTTATTTTAGTGTAAAGACTTAAAAAAAAAAAGCATTTTCTTTATTGCATATCTTAATTACACACAATAAACTGTCACTTAATAAAAAAATTATCTTTAAAATTTATCAAATCAAATTTTTAGACACAAGACAATTAATCTAAGATATTTATAATACAATTTCTATCAAGTTGTACTTATACCAACATAATTATTTTGTTCTCACAGTTACATAATTCCCTACCACGTACCATTGTCTTAAAACAAACATGTTTTCACATCCAAATAACATTTACCATACAATTTGACAATCTTAATTTTTGTCATTTCCAACTAATAAAGTTACCTTCACACTCCAATTTATCTACCTTATTGTGCTAAAAAAAAGAAAATTAACCTTTTTTTTACCTTAATTTCTCTTACCAAGAAAAATAAATCCAAAAAATTCTCAAAATCTACGTAAAATCAAATTGTGTTTACATAAAAGTTTGACTAACAAATTCAACTATGTTACAATTTTTTTTTTAAATCTAGTTAAAATCTCTCTCTCTCTCTCTCTCTCTCTCCTATATATATATATATATATATATATATATATATATATATATATATATATATATTTAAATGAATAAAGTGAAATTTAAATGGAAATTCCAATAGGTTAAGAATGTTCTTCAATATTCTATAAGTATTAAATTATGCTTGGATCTATAAACAAGATAAAAGTTGGACTACAAATTTTGAAATTTTAATTTTAATTTTATTTTAAAATAATAAAATTTGAATGGTTAAATTTATAGGTATAATTTTTTAAACTTAATCAATATAGTTTTATATTTACATTTTATTAAATTACTTTTATCTTTAACCAATTTTATATCTCAAAATAAATTATATCAACATTTGCGTTTATAACAAATAAAAGAAGTATATTATTGAGAAAGTTAATTGTCTAATAAAAGAAAGTAAAAAAATATAATGTTAAATATTTGAGATGGAAAATACATTTGAAATCAACTAAAAACAAAGAAAGTTTGTCTCACCATTTTATATATGTGATTGGAGGATGTGGATTTATTTATTTTTCTTTCAGATTCAATGTACTGAACAAGTAAAGAAAACATGTTATTTCTAAAAATATAACTATTTCTATATCCTTTCTTTAAACTTTAATTTAAACAAACATTTGTGACACACATGATATATGTTTCAAAAGATAAATAATTGTGTGGTGGGTTCTTGACAGTGTTTATTCTGATTTCAAAATATTCTTTTTAATGTGCTAGGATTAATTTAAAATTATATCTCTATTACTTAAAATTAATATATTATTTTAAAGATAATGCAATATAAAACACAAGAATAAACCAATATCCACATGCAAGTATAATTTCAAAATAATAAAATAAATATTTGTAAAAATGTAACAATAATTAAAACAGATAGCGTAATATAAATATCTAGAAACTAATTAATAACTGAAAAACTGTTAACATAATTTAAATAATATAAAGTAAATAATTATCAATATATTATGTAACAAAAGTGAAAAATACGCAAATCATATCTTATGTAAAAATAAGGTTGATGTTTTTTTTTATTTAATTATTGAAAGTTAATAAATAAGTAATGTCTAATTACTTTAAAAATTATATTTTATTTAAAATAAATACGTATATATTATTATTAAAATACATTTCAATCCTTATATATTATTTAAATTATATTTTATTCTACCATAAATAGACTAAATTATACTTTATCATAATATAAAAAAATTAAAATTAAAATAATCATGAGAAATAAAAATTATTTTTAAAGATTTTATTATAGTTTATATCAAACTTTTATACACATTAAATGATTAAATTGACAATTGTACATAAAATGTTGTCTTACTAAAGAAAAACAAAGAGAGAAAAAAATGATATTACATTACTTTATATAAAAATGAATTAAAAAAAATTTAATAAATAATTCAGAAAAATGTAAATAAGAAATAATATTTAAAAATAAACTATTTAAAATAAAATTTATACTAAACATTGTTAATAAATTAAAACAAATTTTTTAAGTAATAAAACGTTAATATCATATTATAAAATTTTACAGCCCAAAATTTTACCTTTTAACTTAATAGATTTAAAAACAAATTAAAAAATTAAAAAATAATATTTGGAATTATATGATTTGTCTCTATCTCTCCATCACATTTAAAATTCCGATTCCCCTCCCTTGTCTCTTCTGTGTTCCAATTTAAAAAAAAAAATTTAAATGAATTTTTAAAAAAATATTTTAAAAATTGTGCCGCAAAAATTAAAAATTTGAAAAAATTAGCTTGATTTAAAAATTATCACCCATTTATGTTTAAAAAAAAATTAAAAATATACAAAAAATAGTATACAAAATTGTCTTGAAATAGGCAAGGCAAGCTCAGAAAATGAAGAAAGGAAAAACATTTGGGCCGAACGTTGAGCCGAATCACTTGAACCCACTTACCCAAGAAGACGCAGGCCAATTCATTTCGGCCTCATGCTATTCACACTTAAGTTTTTAAACTTAACATCTTTACATGATTTCTTTAGCTTATTCTCATTCTCTTTCTTCTTTTTTATAATTCGACTTTTATGATTTTATTTTCTTAACTTTTCTACGTCCAATCAATCATATTTCATTTTTTTTAAAGTCATTATCAATTAAAAAAAAAAAGTATATATTCATATATCAATTTAAGTTATTCATTCAAAAATTAATATGCAATCTATAAATTAAATAAATTTACAATAAATTTTAATTATAATATAAAATGAATATATATTAAAATGTTTCTTTCTTAT